ACTCTTAAAATTTCCACAATGGTCAAGCCGAAGCCAAACCCTTCCATCTAGGCCCCTCACTTGGGAGACACGGGCTCCCTCAAGTGCTTTGATGAGTTTCTACTGCCTTTCCAGGCTTGTTGACAGAAAGCTGTTTTGCCAGTGAAGTATCCAGAAGTCAAAACTATAATGAGATATGTGAAAGTAACATCACAGGCACTGGCCTATCTGCTGAGCCACAAAGTGGTCTCCACGGGGGTATATAATTTGAAAGTGTAAATCTTTGTTACAATATCGCTTTCTAATTTATAATAAATTACACAATAAGGGGCCAGCTCAGTGGCTCAACAGGGTAAGCTCCTCTTTGCCAGAATCAGCATTCCTTGTGGGCACAGGTTCATGTCTAGACTGGTCCACTTGCAATCCCAGTCTCTGCTAGTGGCCTAGGAAAGCAGCACCACCCCCACATGGGATACCCTGAAGAAGCTCCTGGTTCCTGTCTTCAGCTCAGCTCAGTTTCAGTGGCTGTGGCCATTTGGGGGTGTGAATTACCTGATGGAAGATCTGTTCTTTGTTTCTCCTTCTCTCTGTAGCTCTGCCTTTAAAAATAAATATTTTTTTTAAAAAATTAGAAATTAGAAACAACTGTCCTTTATTTAACCTTTATTCTGATTATTTTCCATTCTCAAATGTAAGGACAACTTCAGTTAGCAACATATTGAATATTTTTTATAAGAAATACAAAATTTCAGAAAACAAGCAGATTGAAGTGATTTTAAGTATGTACAATATTTTATCGTGGTCCTTATAGACCATCAAAAGATGAAATCAAGATTGTTAAAAATCATTGAGCATTACATTGTGTCAAGCAGTTTTTTGTAAGACCATCTTTCATTCTTACCAAAAATTATTTATTGGAAAGTCAAAATGGAGATTAGCATAATGGGAAGTGAAAATACGTTGCAGTATGCCTGTCTACTGTTGAATAAAAGAAGGACTCCTAATGAAATTGTTAAATATACCTTGACAATACTAGATACTAGATTTTCTACCATTGCCTGTCCCTACAATGCCATGATACACTTGAACAGCAGAATGTTGAACTTGTGACTGTTGCTAAAAGACTATACTATTATAATAATGTTGGGGGAAATAGTTGGTGGCTGGGAGAATGGGGAGGGAGGAAGGGAAGTTGGAGGGGGAATTCCTTTACCTACAAAACTGTGTCATGGAAAATAATGAAAAGGAAGAGTTGGAGAGAGGGAGGGATAGACAGAGCTATTAGTCCTTTCCCCGACATAGCTACAACTGCTAGGGCAATTGCAGGCCAAACCCAGAAGATCCATCTGGATCTCCCGTGAGAGTGGCAGGGACCCAAGCACTTAACAACATCTGCGTCTGCTTTTCCCAAGCACGTTAGCAGGAAGCTGGAGCAGAAGTGGAGCAACTGAGGCACAAATTGGCCCCTTTTAGGGATGCTGACCTTGCAGGAGGGGCTTTTCCTACTTTACCTCAACTCCAACTCCAAATCAGTCTACTCAGTTATCTTATTCATTACCGAATGTTATGATAAGGTCATTCATTACTGATATTTAAAAAGCAAAGCAAGATTAACAATCGCCTACTCACTATTAACAGCTAAACACAATCATCCTGTCCGTTGGCATATTGGTCAGAAATTGATTCTTGAACACTGGCTCATAGCCCAATGGATTTCAAAATTAATAGATGCTCAAGTCCTTTATAAGTGATACAATATGCAAGTAACAGACATATTCCTTCCTGTATGCTTTAAATCATACTTAGATTAATTGCACTATTTAATATAGTGTAAGTGCAATTCATGGTTGCTGTATATAATTTAGAAAATTTTTTAAAATGAAAGTTTGTATGAACAGTACAGATTCTGATTTTTTTTTTCACATATTTTCAATCAAGGGTTAATTTAATTTACAGAGAGTGGAATGTATCTGAACTGCCAATTGTCCCAGCAGTATCCAAGAAGATACTATTAACAATTTGCAAAGTTAGTTCTTCTGTAACCTGACAGCAGCCCTGGATTGTTTGTCGAACATTTGTCTAAGTAATTGCTCAAAGCAATGCTGACTAAATCGGTAAGGAATAAACATATATATATATATATATATCAAGGAATACAAGCAATACTATTTATCAATTTTCTGGTATGTGTTTATATGTTTCATTCATTGCAGTCGCAGTAAACTATTATTGAGAAGGAAATTGAGGCTCAGAGAGATTGAACAGCTTCACAAGTGAGTTTTGGAAGCAGTTTGTTTTCATAGCAATTTTTCTTCCCTTCCCAAATTTTCTATGTTCACCGCCAGAGACCTAGCAACCATAGCCCTTCAGAACATATAACAATCTAGAAATAAAACTTTATCCTAGAGCCACACAGAAAGATCTCTTCTTTCCCTTGACTTTGCAAGAGTGTCCTGAAAATCCTTCTGCCATAGGCTCATGAACGATTCCTCACCATCTAAATTACTGATTTGCTCAAACGGATTATCCAATTTCCTCAATTTCTGCTAGATCATTGTAGGAAGAGATTGGCAGTAATAGGAGTGATGCTGCTGGCACATTGCTGGGAGGAGGGAGGTGAGGACAGCACATTAGCAAGAGTGTGGGAGACTAATGTCAAGCTCTGCACGTTTAATGTGATCCTGCAGCGGGGCCCGAGACAGCACAGTGAAGGACTCTGGCAGGAGTTTGATTCAGAAGTAAAACTGACTGTGGGAACTCAGCAGAAACAAATGCAGCCTCTTTGCGAAAGGAGGTTAGTTGTTCAAATACGTGCCCTTTTCTTCATTTATGGAGGGATAAATTATGCGACAATGTTTGAGTTCGTTATGCCTCTTTTTCACTGCACCGTTTCCTGTACACTTCTTTATCTCGTTTTGATGATGCTAAAAAACTTGTAGCCCCTTTCGCCGTTTTGTGAGCTTCACAAACATGTACGCACAGGCAAGTGTGTATGTGTTTTACTAATATATAATACATAATAATAAATATATATATATAGTTATATACATAACTATCCTGACATAGAATAGAAGAGCTGCATGAAATCACATATTTTCTCTCCTTATTTTCTCTTTAGAATTTCCTCTAATTCTTCAGTAATACTTTGTAGTCTGAACTCAAAGTGGTCTGTCTCTCAGTATATCCACACTGTGACGTGTATGTGTGTGTGTGAGCATTTGCACATTTGTGTGTATGTGAATATGTGTGTGTGTGTTACTTGGAAAGAAGAAATAAAGGGACAGGGACATTAGGGGAATTGGTATGAATGTTGAACATGTAGTTACCAACTGCCTCTGGAGCCTTTGGGAAGGTATTGCTTCATTAAATCCCATAGGCTTCCAAGAGAGCAGGGAAATGGTGATCACTTACTTCCCTTTGGGTACAGGGATAGTTCCTATCCAACTTCAGCTGTCTACAAAGAAACGTCCCTGCAGAGTAATGGGAACGCTGGCATCTTATTTATTGTATCTAATAACTGCAGAAATTTCTATTTCTACAGTCTGCTGCCAATCTATAAAAAGGTTGTCACAGCTGCCACAAATATTGTTTTCCTTTCCTTTTACTAAACACTCCCAATGGAATTCAGTGAGTGTTAACTAAGTGGGATAAAATGAGCTAGAGACAACCCCCCAACTTTGCTGCTGTCTAATACTATCTTTTCCATTCCTTCGGTTATAAAATCAACCTTGCCAACCAAAATAGACTCTGTCTTTGCATCTGATTTCTTTCCAAATATTCTCTCCCCCCCCCACACACCCTTTCATAAAAACAGTAGTGAAAATGAAATTGTTTAACTTCCTGAAATTATACCTAGTGTACTGGATTTAGAAGAAATGTTGAAGATCCAGTATACCCACACATGTAGTGTTTCTTTGGATGATAAGCTTTTTGTTTTTAATTAAGATTTCTTATTTACCTATCTATGTATGTACGTGTTTATATGAGAGAGAAGTCTCAACTGCTGGTTCACTTCTGAAATGCATGCGAAAGCAGGAGCTAGGAGTGGCAGAGCTCGAAAGCTACTCAGATATCCTTTAAGGGTGGCAGGGACCCACCCAGTCATGATTTAGGTTAGCAGGAAGGGTCGGGTACTGGATAACATATCTATGGCACTACAATGTGGGATGCAGACACCCTGACCAGCATCTTAGCCACTAGGCTAAACATGAACATTAAGCATTCTTGCAACAGAATTATTCTCTTCTGCCTCTTCGTTACCTCCTTTATAACAGAGCAGCAAAGAGAGCAAATAACAATGAAAAGAAAGGCAGGAAGTGAGGAGAATGGCTTAATCTCCAGAAAAGAAGAAAATCGTCTAAAAAAAAAAAAAGAAAGAAAAAGCAGCTATGTTGGCACACTGGTATAGTTAACACAGAGTTGACATTACCCAGGCCCAGAATGCCAGCCAGCTATGGCCTGCTTTTCTCTCTGCAGTGTAGCATTTGCCCAGGTACCAAACCTAAGCAGTTGCCTACTGCTGAACTACTTAACAATTTATAAAATACACTGTCATTTTTTCATATAAAAAGTCTGCATATGTATTCATACATGCTGAATATGTATCTCTCGTGACTTTTTGGTGAACAGTTTTCTCTTGTTTTTGAACGTTTTTAAAACGTGTTCAGGCAATAAGATAACTTTCATAATATGAAAAATTCATTTCTCTCTGAAGCGTCAATTGATTGTGCATACCATTATATAGAAGGCATGGATGAAAAAGACATTATTAAATGTTTGAGCAATTGAAAAATAAAGTATTTTAATTGGAAATCTATAATTGTAGCATTATAACCATCAATCAAAAGAACATAAAATTTAGGAACCTTAACAGGTGGGTTCTTTAATATTCAAAAGTTACAGCAGTAGTATACCATTTTTAACCATTGGTTTGACAAAGGTATAAAAATTTGACAAAACTATGCGTAGTACTAAAACACACAAGTATTTCTTTGTAGTTTTTTTTCTTTTTTCTTTTTGGCACTAACATGCAAGAGAGAGCATTCAATTCTTGTCTTTCTTGGGCGGGGACCATGCTAATTTTGTCTGTATGGTTCCAATTTTAGTATATATACTGCCAATGCAGGCACACAGTATTCATCTTTCTATGTCTGTTTAAAATGTTGTCCTCCAGTTGCATCCATTGGGATGCACATGGGAGAACTTCATTGTTTCCAAGTAGGTGAAGGATTACATTACACACACACACACACACACACACACACACACATACACACATAATGCATAATAAGTAATCTTTCAGAAAAGCAATTTAACACTCTTTAGTGAAAGAAAAACCAAAGAAAAATTTACTCATATTTACAGTCATGCTGCTATGCATGGAAATGGAGGAGATACTGACGTATAGTCTAGTGATGGACATTTGGCATGGGAGTTATAACACTACTTGTGATGTCCACCTCTTATATTGGAGTGCTTGGGTTGGGCTGTCGCAGATGATGGTTCCAGTAGTTGGGACCTTGCTTGTGATGGGAAACCTAGGCGTTGGCTTCAACCTGGTCCAGTTCCAGGTATTACAGGATTTTGGAAAGTAAATGATGTATGGAAAACCTCTCTCTAAAACTGGAAGTGGCGATTAAGTTAATCACTCTAGAGTTTTATTCAGAATATGACACACTCGTTACAACGACGTTTTAAAAACGTTAGAATGGGTATTTGGTGCAGTGGTTTTAGCCACCTGGGATGCCCACATCCCATGTTAGAGTCCTGTTTCTACATCCAAGGAGGCAGCAAGTGATTGCTCAAGTGGTACAGTTCTTGCCACTCATGTGATACCTGGACTTTAACTTCCCCTTATGTCAGCTACCTACTTCCGTGTCCATACCCAAAATTAACATTATTATTAACGAAACTATCTCTAAGACTATGAACTTCCCTTTTCTCATCTTTTCTACCAACTATTTTCAATTATTTTTAAGTCTCACACCTCATGATGCCACTTCCATGATTAAAGTTCAAGAGGCCATCATCATGAATGCTTATTTACAGATTAATTTTTCTTACATTTTAATTTTTTTACTTTGAATTTTATTGCACAATTCCATTGGGTATGAAATTCTCTCTCCCCCAAATTGCCACCCCCAACTGATTTTCCCCATATTATTACAATAATATAGTCCTTCATTAGCAGTCATGATTCCACCAGTCTGTTATTTAAGTGTGCCCCGATGTTGCTAGTACAGACAATGTCAGACAGTCCAGCGTCCCATTGCCTAGATATGTCCAACAGTTTCACTGGGAATCCATCTTTGATTTGGAAGTAGAGATGCATATTGAATTATATCTTCACATCTGAATATCATAGTCTCTATTATGGCATTACTGTACATTCCCTTAAATGAGAAGCCATGAAACAAAGTCAACAACAGGTACGAAGTTAAAACAATGACAACAAATCATAGCACTATGGAGTTGAAAAGGTGAACCACTGAATAATCAGTGCATGGTTGATTTAGGTCCTTGAATCATTTTGAGCTAATTTTTGTATAATGTGACAGGTGCGGGTCTTGCTTCTTAATTCAACAGCATTTGTTGAAGAGACCAGAGTTTTCCATGGATTGTTTTCATTTTTTTTTGTCAAAGATTAGTTGACTATAAATGTGTAGGCTCCCTTCTAGGGTTTCCATTCTGTTCCATTAGTCTTTTTCTCTGTGTCAGTATCAGTGCCAGACTGTTTTAATGACCACTGCTCTGTAATATGTCTTGAGATCTGGAACTGTGATTCCTCTGGCTTGATTTTTACTCTTCAGGATAGCTTTAGTATTTGTGGCCTCTTGTGTTTCCAGATGAATTTTTGTATCTTCTTTTCTGTTTCTGAGAAGAATGTTGTTGAGATTTTGGTTGGGATTGAGTTGAATCTGCATATTGCTTTTGGTAATATAGTCATTTTGATGATGTTGATCCTGCCGATCCAGGAACAGGGTAAGTTTCTCTATTTTTCAATGTCTTCCTCTGTTTTTTTTAATGTTGTATAGTTTTCATTATAGATGTTTTCCACAAATTTAATTAGTTTAATTCCTAGATATTTAAGATTCCTCTCTGTTATTTTAAATGGGACTATACTTAAAATTACTTTCTCAGCCATGGAATTAGTTATGTACACTAGTGCCATTGATTTGTGTTCATTAATTTTGTAACCTGATACCTGCCAAAGTCTCTTATGAGTTCCAATAGTCCTTTTACTGAATCTTTTGATTCTCCTATGTAGAGAATCGTGTCATCTGCAAATAGAGATAATTTCAGTTTCTTTTTTCCAATTTGAATTCCTTTAGTTTCTTTTTCTTGCCTAATAGCTCTGGCAAGGACTTTTTAAATTTTTTATTTCATATTATAGCTCTTTCTTTATTTAATAGACACAGAATTTATGGCAGAGAGAAGTAGAAAGACTTTACATTGATTTTTTTCACTCCCCAAATGCTCATAGCAACCAGGGTTGTGTTCAAAGCCAGCAGACCCAAATTCCCTTCAGGTGTCCCATGTGGGCAGCAAGTACCTAAGTCCTTGAGCCACCGCCTTCTGTCTGCAGGGTTCCCATTTACAGCTGGGACTCAAGCCATTACTCCTACGTGGATGGGATATATTCATCCATTAGTAGCAACTTAGCTGTGTCTGCCACATCCTCTCTTGTTTTGTAGTATCACCTGGTGAAATTCCGTTTCTGTTTTAGTCTAATCTCTGTGTGTTGTGTGCCTCTGCCCAGGAAACCATGAGAATTAAAGAAAAACATATAACCGCTTTAACTAGCTTGCCTGTAAATGCCTGACCGCTGACTTCAAATACAAAGTTAGGGGGTCCCACATCCTCCCACACTTCCTGTGTATGTATAATTTCCCACTTTTGCTGGCTCCTGCACTTGATTTTCATCATTCCTCAAACGTACAAGTCCACATGTCTTCTTGCTTTTTTCTCAGGTGATGTCCTTTTTTTTTTTTTTTTTTTCTATTTTACTCTAGGTTTTTCTCCCGTTTTTCTGTCTAGTTTCTGAACATCCTTACTGGTTGTTCCTCATTATTTCAACCTCCAAATTTTGAAATGTCAGAAGGTTCAAATTTCTAACTACTATTTCTATCTATACTCACTTCTCACTTGCTTAGTGACATTCAGGCATATGTCTTTAAATACTATTTGTATGTTGATGACTGTCAAGTATATCTCCAGATTTCAAATTTAACATGCAAAAACCATATCCTTATCTTCATTGCATCCTAAAACCTCTCTTCCCAGAGTTCTCAGCAAGTTGCAGCTCCATCTGTTCGGGTTGGGATGTTTAGTCATTTTTGAAGTATCTTTTTAATGTTATATTTCATAACCAATATTAAGACATTAGCACAATCCGTTGGATTTGCTGTTGTAATATACTTATTATTAGGCTCCTTATTAAACTCTCCGTTACGATGTGTCTTAGCCATTGAGAGCTTCTCTTCTTGGTAACTGCAATGCCCATCGGTGTGCTCTGCTTCTGATTTCTGTTTCCTTCAGGACATTGTCCACACAGCAGCCATAGTCATCCTGCTAAAGGTGGGCATTCATTGTCATCCTGATGCTGGAAATATTCCAATGCCATTTTATCACACTAAGAAAAAGAGAGAAATTCATAATGTATGTCAAACACATCTGCAACACTTCACTTGCTACTCCCCCCACCCCATTTCATGCACAAACTACTCCTGTGAAAGTGATCGAGACCCTAGCTACTCTAGTGACTCAGGTTCTCTGCTCTTGCTTTTCACATTCTAGAAACATGGGAACCTTCCACAGAAGCTTAATGTGGTATGTCACATTTCTCAGACTTCTACACAAACAGACCTACAGGAGTAAAAGTATCTTTCTAGTCTCTGAAGGGCAGCAATTACTTCTTGCTTCTAGAGCCCACTATTTGTCTCCCTGATTTCTAGACTTTGTATCCGCTCATTTATGGATTCACTCTTACACATGTTATTTCATATTGGGTGTGTTTCTCCTCTCCCTTCATGAATGAAAATGTAAGTTTTATCATGTGTACATCATTTTATCATCAAACCCTAGCAAATGGTTAACATACAAGTGATACTAAAATGCATTGCTGAATTACCAGAAGAATAAAAATTAGCATATATAGATTATAATTAACACAAGGAAATAAGGAAATAGCCAATATTGTGTGAGGAATGCATGTTTGTACAATGAGAATACTGGGCTTTATTTTGATCCCTTAGAAATATAAGTGTTCAAGAGATAAATGAGAGAGGAACCCTTTCGATTCTGATGTCTCTGTTGGAATTGAAACATTACTTTTCTAGCTCTTCATCCAAAATGAAAATAATATTTATTAGTTACTATTTAAGATATCTTTAGAGCAGTGCATTATAAAGACCCTCATGTCATTTTAGGAGACAAATGTTTTGGATTGTTAGTCACAAAACTACACATCTGACCTTTGACATCTATGGTAGCAACATTGGCCTACCAGTAATTACTTTTCTGCCTTTCAGAGAAGTCGAGCGCTATATTCTGGCCTGTGCTTATAGGAGAGGAGACAAATGATTCTGATGAAATTGAACAAGACGATTGTCTGCTCTGTCTCCTTGTAATCCTACCATTGCCACAGAACACACACATCTCCCTGATGTTTAGTGATTTATGTGCTTTCACATTTAGTCAACATCACAACCAGGGATTACTTTGAAAAGCCACCAAAATACATTTCTGCATCTCTTATTCCATAGTGAGAAATCTCTTGAATAAATGTCTACCTTTGAAAATGCACAAGTAAAATCATAGGGAAATTAACTGGATTTGTCATTTTCATATAACTAAAAGTGTTTGAGGCAGAACTTGCAGATTTTCTCACTCTAGACACCTATTTCCAGGATGCCAAAGCTGCTTTGCCAGAAGGCATTTACTCTACTGATCAGGAATCTAGACTGTGGAATCAGGCTGCATGGGTCTCTGTGTCACTATAAGCAAGAGAATGGTAATCCTCAACCTCCCCAAATGACTGAGAACTAACTCCGCTGAGGTCAAGAGGGCAAGGGTTAGCTGTTGATTCGTCATCACTGGATCCCAGTCCTATACACATTTTTTTTTTTTT